TGATTCAGGAATTCAACATCTTCAAAGACAATGACAAAGTCAACCCAGAGGACTTCTTCAGATTCAATAGTGAAACACGAACCAAAGGACACAAACAGAAACTACATGTAAGTGCAATTAAAACTGAGAACTGGAGGCACGTATTCACAAAGGTTTCACAAAGGGGGTTGGAACAAGGTACCTAACTATATTGTTGAAGCCAGCTGCAGCCTGACTTCTTCCAAAACACAAATGGATGAGACCCTCAGATCAATTAGTTACCAGCAACCAAACAGACAAGACAGGCCAAATGGCCTCTTTTCGTGTGTAACTTTTCTAATGCTCCAAAATGATTTCAGCATTTGCAAATGGAAGCAACACTACTCAGATTAAGCTTAGAAGATCTTTGAAGTGGAAACATGCATTTAAGAATTACTAAACATAGGGGTTTCTTTTTATAGAATACACTGTAGTTCTCAATGTCTTAAGAAGAGGTTAGAAAAGACTTTTAAACACAGTCATTTAATTAAACATTTCCTATACTACATAAGCCAATCAAATACACATTCATATACTGTACAGTGTGTCCCTACGAGGGGATATAGAGCACTAACATTTAACATTGTCTTGTTTATATACATTAAAGGGAAGCTCTACAAAATTTAAGAAATGGCTAACTAGTTTGGATTTAGATGAGGGGTTATAGCACGTAGTGTACTGTAAAGTAAGGTGTCATTTAAAGGGAGTTCTGTAAGACATTATGACAGACCACAGCGCAGATGACAGAAATCTGCTTAAACTAACTGTACATTTTTTTTGGCCTAAAACCCAAGGCATAAAATCTCCAGTGCCATTCACAGCCATCGCTATTTTGAAACCTCTCCCAACAGGCTTTCACTGTCTGACAGACCATGGAAGTTAAGTGCTGTTATTAGCATTTTATTGAAGTGACCTTCTGCCTCCTGCTCTGACATTAACACTCAGTTTCCCATTGGGGAACAAAATGTAGGTCTGTGAAGTGAACAGCAGCAGATCAACGTATACGCAATGACATGATGAAACGGAATGTGATTTTGTTCTTGGTTTTCATTATTTGTCTGATTATTTTTAATAAAATCTCTCTTGACAGTGACAATGACTTGTTCTACAGATCTAGGTGATGAAACCCTCATTCCACTGTGTTGTTTATTGATGTGATCTGATTATTTCTGACTCTCTTCAAATTCTGACTTTCTCTTGTTTCTTTACTTTTTCCTTCGAAAAATCAGCAGTGGTGCACAAAAGCAGACTTCAGTGCTCTGCATGTCAGCCACCACCCTGAGCTTTCCAGTGGCTGATTGTTTGAGAAAAGAAGAAGCTTTGATACAAAACAGAACATCTTTGACTTTCAAACTCCTGCAGGGTCCAGCTGCCACCCTAATTTCACCAGACACAATGAACAGCTTTTATACAAGAAAACCAGACAAAAACTTAACCGTACTGAAGAAACAACACAAAATAAATAAAATAAATTAAACATATTTCATGTTCATGTCAGCAGCAGGGCCTCATGACTATTAACTGCACCGCAGTGCAAAAGACAGTGTGTGTTGTTCTGCTGTGTCCCACAGTGTCATGCCTATTTTATACAAAAACAATGTTATGATGTCCGCCTAATGAATTTGCAGCTGTTTTGTTAACAGCTAACAGTTCATCCTCTGTTTTTGTAGTAAAAATAGTCTCATTGTAGCTTTCTGGATGCGGATAGAGAAACAAATGATTTGAACAATGAGAATCAAATACGTGACAATATGTTAATTACATCTGAATGGGAAATGTGGTAAATGAGCTACAAGACTGGGTGAACACACTGACTGCTCAAGAACAGTTTATCTTGAGGAGCAGTATTCTATAATTTGAAAATTCTACTCAGTTTGAATTAAAGAGCCCTACATTACAAGTTGGGCTTCTTCTCAACCAAATGGAGCTGTATAACAGTCATGGTTATCATTCTGCAAAACACTAGTGGAGGCTTTGATTTAACTGTTGATACTTACTATACTATATAGTATGTTTAAGATGGGTAAAACATTTGCACAGTAGTGCAGAAAGGGTGACTCTGAATGTAATGTAATAAAGTAAAAACTTTTTTAATTAACAAGTAACTGCAAAATTGATTACATGGGCTGAATGGCTTCCTCTTGTTTGGAACCTTTACGCAAGAGATAGCAATGCAATGTTTCCACCTGGACGTTTTTAAAATGTGCAAAACAGGTACCAACAATGTTTCTTATACAAAGCACACACAAGAAACTAGAAATACTCTACATAGCTACGCATAAGTCGCATTATCATTTTGAAGAGAGATAATCCCTTAAAACAGTCAGTGGCCCACTGAGACAAATAAGTGCTATGGAATGCCAGAAAGAACACACTGGGCATTTTGTAAATACAGTAGGAATATAGTTTCAGTCCTGAAACAGATTTAAAGAAGAAGACCTGGTGCCTTTTAATGTTATGCCAATTGCTTAAGAGGGGGGAGCTCAGCAGTGTCAATGTATATCAGAGCCTGGTCTCTTTATCCTTAGAAATCTGGGAGAAACGATGAAGGAAATGTGAGTGAGGTTTGATGGAATGGAAAAAAGGATCACCGATAACCTTGTCTGTCTGTACTCCAAATAAAAGACTGTCCAGTATGATTGGATTTCACTTCACTGTGTCCTCACTTGCAGCTAATGAAAACAGTGCAAGGACGAACAGGTGTTTTGATGCAGGTTTATGAGTTTCTCTGATTCATTTTAACTGATGCTATAATGTGCACAAGTCTTAGATTAGATCTGGAAATGACTTCTTAACATTCCACAACTCTAGAAAGGAATTTAAAACACTCAGATATTTTGTGCAAACTAATTTGTTAATCTACAGTAATATCTAACACTCCAATGCTTAAACAGCATGCTCTTAAATGAGATTTATATAAATATTTTATATTTTTAACAATACAATTATAGCAAGTGGAATCAGAAACAAAATATCAGCACTTCACTAAACCCTCCTAATAATTTCTGAATAAGATATGAAAACCTGAAGGTGACAAATGTGCTCTTAGTCCTGCCTTACAGGACTACAAACAAAAACAAAATCTAAATTGCTTTGAAACTCCTACATTGCAATTATTTAAATCGTTCTAAGTACGCTTACATCACACGTCATGACTCCAAACAATTACCTGATGGAATGCAATCAAAACCTATCTTAGTCCAGTGACGTCGCAGCCTAAATTAAATGAGCTGCAGAGTGCATTACTTCAAGCATCCTTTCTATCGACATCAGCAGCATGTTGGAACCTCATGTCTGCCAACAAGATACAATGACTCTTCTTAAGTAATTATTCTGTCTCATTAACTCTAATGTTAAATAAGACAGGCTGGATGGAGGCAATTACACTGACACCAGTTACAGTATCTGACCTTCGTTCAATATACTATAAAAGTAATTCAAGGTTATTTTTCAAGCACGAAGAAAGCTTACGGTATACATTTAATGTGCTGAAAGCATTTGTGTTTTAGGATGTGTTCACAGACAGGTTCCAACATCAATCAAATGGCACCATTGAGAATGCTCAGGTAAGGCAAGCATGTTTGCATAAGAACTGATATTGCTCACCACGTTCATCTTTCATTCAAATGAAAAGCATGGAAATCACATGCAAACATGACTCCAATAGCCACTGCTGCCACACAGAAAGTAATATTACAACAGTGGGATCCTGTGAGACAGTATTTAATAGGTGCAGATTCCATATTGCTGCAGCAGGTTGTGCTTAAGTGCAACGCATTGCTACGAACAAACAAGTATGATTACGGTAACTTACAATTAAAAAAAATACTATCAAGAACAGTAACGCAGGTACATCAGGCAAAAAACAAACACTTTTTTAATATTTGTATCCATTATCAGAAAGGTGTACTATCCTTTCTTCCTTTTGGAAGGTGGGAGGAAATTAAAACACCCTGAGAAAAACCACCTGAACGCAGAAAATGCAAACTCTGCACAAATGAGTCACTCCGGTCTGGAATCGAAACCGAGACCAAAGAACATTAACCACCAGGTCAGTATTAATTCCCACTATGGACCTCTGGATATTTCTAAGCTGTTAAAAAAACTGTTGACTGCAATTGCTTATGTTTTATATTCCAAATCAATAATAGTTTATACTTAACTGTCGTCTGGGATATGAGTATGAATTAAGAATACAAAACCACCCCCTTCACTGTCCCTATAGGCGGTTGATTCTTGATTTTTGTGTGCATCTGTGTAATGTATTAGGTGACAAGTGGATGTGCATTTCTCAGAGGACTGGTACATTTGGAATCAATAGGATGGCACACCCTAAAGCCACTTTAAAAAAATCAATAGCAATCAATATTTAATGTGGCATCATTCAAATTACACATTTAAAGTGGTGGTGGGGGGGGGTAAATTGTTAAAAGCTTTTTAAAAAGAACTCAAAAAGATTCCCTCAAGCATAAAAGTAACACAGGTTTATTGAGGCGTTTTACCTTTTTTTTTTCTTAGGTGGTATTCCGTGTGTGGACAGAAAACCAAAGACCTGACTCCAGTCACCTCCTACAATAAGCAGCAGCAGCTGGGATCATCACCGAGGGCTGTTCACATACTGTATGTCCGGGCACTGTTCAAAAGGTGCCATGGACTGAGGAGTATCCTATCTGCGCCTTTCCAGCTAGCACAATGCACTACAGAGGCTGTGAAGTCCTAGGCCAGGACAAACCCGTGCCGTCACCCGCCGCCAGACTTCAGCGCTTTGTGATCTATCCTCGCTTGCTCAACAGCTTTAGCAGAGAGGCTTAGCTCAGTCCCTACCAGCTATTAAGCCCTATATCCCTGCCAGCAGGCTGCGAGCAGGAAATCGGCTTGTTGACACAAACCCCCGGGTGCGTGTCCAATAGACTGCTGCTGCTTCTCTCCAACACCACCACTGCGTGCTTATTAAATTACATACAGGTGGGTCGGGCACATACCGTCTCCACACGACCGCTTTTCTGCAGGGTGGCTGCCCGTCACTTAACACAGACACCACACGGACTCTCTTGCACGATTCGGAGCTTTTGTTGTTAATTCGCCCCGTCTCCTAGTAACCTGCAGCCATGACACGCCGAAAGGAGGTACCCTGCTGAAGCCTGCGGAGTCTCCGTCTTTTCTGTTATTGGGCCGGCCTTGGGAGCCTCAGTCCCGTTACCTGAAATGGTGGTGAAGGTTACAGGCGTTTTCAAGTTTGTGCGCGTCCGAAGAGGCAGCCCGAAGTTATGTTTGCCTCGGGGCAGAAACGATTACATGCAGGTGCTACCAAATCACAACTGAAAGTCTGCAGTCGACTTTTTTCTGTTTTTTTTTTCCCCACCATCTATACTTCATCCTCCGGAGGACGCGTCTTTACCGCCCCTAAAGAAGTGCTTTTTTCCCCCATTGTGTCTCATTACACACGAGGAACGTACTCACAAATTAATAACACTTATGCCATTATGTCCCATTAAGGTCGGTGTTTGCGGAGAGTGATGCCCTGTTTATCATGCCAGGCATTTTCATTGATGTTATTTATGTCCATAATATCCTGCCACCTCGCTCTCCCTCCGAACTGCCTCATAATATTCACCGATACCGGGGAGTGACGACTTCAAGACTAATACCATCCACACGAAGCAGCGCAGGATATTATCATTCCGTGGATGTGTGTAAAAATAATAAGGCATTATTCCTCAAATTCGCGCAGACATGCTAATTACCCGGGCTGTCAAAAACTAAAATTGCAGAACATGAACTACTGTATGTAAACACAGGCTCGGGCAGCAGAAGATTTATGATCTACCATTAGGGCAAATTTCATTTAATTCGCCCGTGTAAGTTTAAAGGCATAAAACTTAATCATTAAAACCGGAGAGGCGAAGAGCAGGTTTATAAGCCTGTGGGTTATAGAGCAACGTCATTTGAAGACTGCACGTGTACTTCTGGGACCTGCATCTGTCACAGATCACGGCCCCTTCCTCAAATAAAACAAGGAGAATAACATGGTTTTTTTTTTTGTATTTTCATTTCTTGAAATAACCATAAGTCGTATATCCACTCCCTATACACCGGGATACCTCAATATACAAAAAGAATATAGAAAAACGTATCCCAGAGTTTCCCCCCACAGCGAGTCTTTGAAAACGACGTTGGGGAAACAATGGAAATAATCGCACAGAGCCAGACAAAAAAAAAAACAATAACACAACCATCAACACTGTGCTAACACGCACCGGCACTTCACAATCACACAGAGAGAGCGACGCGGCCACTAACATTTAAACTCTTAACCCGAAGCAAACCATTCCGCGATATTTAATGGCCAATTTCGCCGGGAATTAAAAAAAAAAAGTGTGATTCAAAACCTCATCTTGGAAAACAAGGTTTCCGTGCAATAACAGCACACCTTCTCTCGACAAAAGAATGGAAACGTAGTTTTTACCTACCTTTGTAGTTTTGTGTCCGGTTCCCACCTTCAGGATATACACTGAATTAAGAAAAAACCCACTAGATAAACACTTGTAATTTCCCCCGTTGGCTAGCCTGCAACAAGGCTGACGGTCGCGGAAACAGTGAATCTAGCGCTTGCTACATCTTCACTGGCGGTTTGCTTCGCTTGCGACCACTGACGTCCGAGGTCCTGTGGCTGGGTTTTTTTTTTTTCCAGGCAGAAAGAAACGTCACCTTTCTCTTTCTGTTTTCCTTTGTTGTTGGGGGCTCCGGTGACACATTATTCAGCCTGGGAATCGGCCCAAAACATCCCCCAAGGCTGCGCTCGGAGCCCCTCCGCCCGGCGCGTCACCCTGACAACTACCCCCAGGACTAGTTCGGGTCCACGCGTCAAGAATTAACAAAACACCAAAAGGGGAAAGCAGAGAGCACAGCAAATACTCGATCTGCACCCCACCTCTCTCACACACAAACACACACTTATACGCACATTCACCAAAATATTCGTCCCTTCAACGTTTCCCAGTACAACCAAATCCAAATGCCAAGAAGGCACAGCATAGCACATGTTTGGTTTAAGCCGAGAATGCATTGGACTACCGGATAATTTTCCACGGCAGTTTATTGCACAGGAATAATTTATTTAACTATCTTTAATGTGATGTGAAAATGCGTTTTTCTTCTTCCGACAGCGGCTTGGCAGTTACAGCGAAGCGTTACAGACTGATTACAGATGATATTCGTGAACCCCCTGTAAGAAAATGGTGTATTAAGTGCAGTTGCGAATTTGGGATTATATACCCATCAGATCAGTGCTGCAATTAGATAAGCAAGAATTAAACATTTACTGCACTTCAGAGGGTTGTGGATTTTAAAATATTGCTAAAGGTGAATGTGCATATTGAAGGATGAAGCAGTACATTCGCTACGCACAATATAACCAAGTTTTAGATTCTGTTACACAACCTGAAACAGAAGCCGAGAGTCCATGGGTATCTTGTACAACCTGACCTGCAGTTAGACTATTAGCTTACTGAGCAGACGACTCTTTCCTTTGTTGTTCAGTGACATTATACTGTACTTGAAAAAGTTGCTAAGAGATAAAAACATACTTAATGTCAACTGAACAAAGCCAGCTTCACTGTATCAGTATCAAGATATTTCACATTCTTTCTTTAGGCTCCTGTAAATGAAGATACAGGCCTATAAATTTACATTCAGATATGATTTGAGTCCAGGACACATTTTAGGGACAGTGAAAGCAACTAGTCATTCCATACAGAAGCATTTCCCCAGTTTCCTGGAGCACATATCTTGAAGTTTTGGGACCTCTTCATACTGGATAATTTAAAAGGACCCTTTTTCCCCATGTTAAATGCATGCTTCAACTGCTACTTTCCTTCTACACCAGGGAAAGTGAATTTGTGTCTAATAATTCAGACTGCTGGTCTGGTTACTGTATGCCAAAAGTACAGTACTCTTTAGGAAACATCTTGTGTGTTCTGAAATGTTATGTCTTTTTTAAATGCATTCGTTATTAACTCAACATTTTTATAACAGGTGAATCAGAGATCATGTATTGATTTTGACACTGGCGTTTTTCAGGTATTAAAGCACACTTCATTCATGTGTGCACTGTAAGCCCAAGACGAGCCTAATGTGTAAAGTTCTAAAAATATACATACTGAAAACAAAATCTAACTTCTTAAAGATACAAACATGCATCACACTCGAATCAAAGATCTCCTCAGTACAGTATGTTTATTTAGTCTTACATCTTAAAAATAATGGACAATAACACAGAACAATAATTGATTAAATTATGAAATAATTTTGTTGTGCACCAGGAGTCTTAAAATTTATTAGTTCTTGTCTTGTCTTGTCTTGGGAAGGGACTTCTCCCACCCCAGGCACCAGTATAGCTGAAACATCTAAATAACAAGGGATATTGAGCAGTGTGCACAGCTCAGTAGTACAGTGTGAGATCAGTACAATATAATGGGTTATAATCGGTTAGATGACCGGACCAGAAGATGACCAGCAGCTCAGAGGAACATTGAGTATTCTTTACCAAAGACAGCACATGGCAGAAAAGTAGTGTGGGAAGCACATAGCAGGAGGGGAGAAGTGACAGGGGACGATAGCACGAGTCACAGCTGACAATCCATCTTTACCCTGATGAACCGAAACAAAAGAAAGGTCATAAACAAGATGTGGCCCTTCAGTCCATCGTGCTCAAATCGACCAACAGTCTGAGAGAAAGCAGGTATTGGGCACTGAAAGGACCCAGACTGAACTCAGGGAAAGGAGTTGTATTTTTACAACTGCTGAACTATTTAAGTTTCCTTAGAGTAGAGGGGCACCAACATGACAACTTAACAACTACTTTTAAAACAAAGGGATATTTTTAAATACAAAATCATGAAGAGAATGCACCAAGGACGACCAGCTGTACAAAGTACTCCAAACCTTGACACAATAAACCAATGTATTATTTTACATCAACAAATCTCTAAATGAGCCTTGCAGTTTATTCAGCAAAGTGTCTAAAGTACAATAAAAAATTAGATGGCAACCCACCTGTACCTTCAAGTTATAGTTCCAATAATTTGCTATTGTATTTCCTGAACTTTTTTTCAGATTTGGTTAGATTGCCACAAGCACTTTATAACTGAATTGAATTGATTCTGGAATCGATCTTTAAATAAGAAACAGTAAAATAAACCATTTGAGGTGATGATCAGCTTCCTCCCAAATAAAGTGTCTCAAATTCAGTATTAATATCCTCTTTAGGAATTTTTTCAGGATCCAAGAATTCATCTCCTAGTTTCTTCCACCACGGCCAGCGATTGAACTGAAGCATGGTGTGGTGGCACTCTTTGGCCCGGGCAGCTACAGGGCCTGATCTGCTTGTGAATGCATCAATGTCTGGTTCTGTAACTTCTTGCAAATGTGGAGAATCTATGTATACAAAAAGACACATAAACACTGTTATTTCTTCACTCAGGAGGATGGCTGCTATGAACACAATACTACCATGCTGATTACATTCTTCAGTACTTAAATATGTTTAAAAAAGACTGGATGGGCTCAAAATGCAATTGAGCTATACAGTACATAGTCTGTAAATATTAGCTCATGTGTTTTGTTTGCTACCTTGTTTTTGCTGAATACTTGCCTATTTAACTTTTTCCTTTTTCACAACCATGCAACCAGTTCTCATAAGAACAAAAAAAGTCACATTAACTTCACAATATTCCCTGATGTCTGGAAGTATTATTTTGGTTCTGTAAATTGCTTTTACTCAGGCTGGTGTCGGGACTAATATTTAACTAGTGCTACACACACCAACGTTCAAATCAAATCACATGTCGTTCAAATTCCAAAACGTAATGGTATAAAATCTGTGTTAGCAATGCCTGTGAAAGGAAGTTCACTTACTCATCAGAAGTTCAACATCAGTGTTAATCTGTGCCAGGAGAGCCTCCCTGCGCTGGTTGGCTTTTCTGTGTGGGTGTCTCTTCATTACATGCTGTCTTAGCATTTCCTGGGTCTTTTGATGGAGTTCCTTACAGCTCTCCATTGACACTGAAGAACACTAGAAACAGCAGCACACACAGTTCTGTAAACCGGTAGCCCTACTTCACTTCACTCAGTGTTTTGAGTTTATTGAAACTGCATTTCAAGGCTTTTTGAACTAGCCAGTGGGAGACACCAGTCTTTAGTTTTACTGAATGTGTGGAAAGGTGGCAGTGGAAAAAACATGTTTGAAGAACTCTGCCAAAAATACAGAAGATACCAAGCTGCTCGCTCAAAAAATCCTCTTTCAAATGTTTAAGAATCATAATGCAATCCCACCAGTCAAATGTATAATGTGTTTTTCTACCAAGATTAAGAAAAAAAAGAATACACTTAGAGTGAAAACAGGAATGCATCAGTTACATTCCACACCAATAACAGGATGAAGGTAAAATACCATGTTATTCAACTCACTGGGTGAAGAGCAATATAGTCTTCCACCTCTTTCTTTAATTCTGTCCTCCTTTCATCTGTCAAGCCCTTGGGACCTCTCCAAGGAGACAAGATGTGTCTTTCATTCCTTCGTCTTTGCAAGAAACGCAGAGCCTACAAATGTTAAGCAAGAAACAGAACTTCTAATGCATTGAAAGTAGTCTACAAAATATTAATGAGTAAACAATTTTCGAAGACCAAAGTGAGTACAATTAATTCCTGGTGTAATCAACTCCCGTTCATATCAGTTTTCAAATGTCTTTTAGATTGTTCTTTTTTTTAATCACAAAAAAATGTTTCTGGAATAGGTTGCCCATAAATTAAACTTCTAAAGCATGATAGCTGAAAACATATTAGCAAGTATAATGACTTACTGCTCTTTGCAAAGTTACTGCTGCCTTAAACTCTTTCAGGGCCCGCTTCTGGTCATGAAATTTCCTTCTCTCACTGTGTCCTCGCCACAGTTTCTGAATCAGGATGGCAGCCTTCTGTTCTTGTTCCCTTAAATACACATCTACAAGACCTGCAGGAAATTATCAGAGCAGTCAGTACTTCACTGATGGTTTGCACAACCTGTAACCAAACACTGGTTAAAGGATGTGAAAAATGTGTTTTTTCTTCTTTAATATGCGTGTTATGTGAATTTATTTTCATAACCCATTTTAATAACATTTTATAATAAGCTTTTTTTTTTAATTGTAACATTAGGAGTCTCACGGTGTTGTTTATTTTCTTCCATGCTGCCTTGACCATTTCAGTGCTGATTAACTTAAAGAACTGCAATGATATTCACACGTTTGCTTATACAAATATATTTTTGTCAAAACAAAATGTCAGGTTTGGAGCACATCTTATCCTACATTTATTCTCACATTCAAATGGGGGCAAAACGAGCATGAATTCAGCATGATGCTATAACATTCATTTCAGCTGAGGATACAGTGTTATAGAAATTATTCTTTTTTCTCCCTATACACATGATATCTTACAAAAGATACTCAAATATGATCAAATATTAATTGCAAAACATAGAAACTGTATGACAATCAGTTTCTCACTTGCAGGTACTATTTCTAGCAGGTCAAGTTGCCGCTGTCGGAATTCACGAAGAGCTCTTTGTCTCTGGAGCTGCACATGGTTCCTGAGCTCTTCCTCCTCCTTGAGCCTCTGAGAAAGCAGACGCTCCTTCGCCTTTCTTTCCCTGAAACATGTTTTTATACAGTCTGAGTAACACATACTAAAACAGAATATAAAACAGAAATGTATACACTGTTGTGCAGATGTCTTAAGACAGCTTATACACACTCAGAAGTTAAAACATATGCATGTCATGATCAACAATTTACTCAAAGTCTCTCTTTTCTATTATTATAAGAAATTTGACTGTTATTAATTTACCAGCTGGGTGTGGCTGAGAAGAAATCTAGTTCGCAATTTAGCAGTCTTTAATTCAAATTTATCTAAATCAACAAAAAATGAATAACAGCATCTTATGGTAAATTCTGAGTAGCTAACATGAAGTGGCGATCTGTGCTGCAAAATACAGATCTATCAGGACTGAGTCCCTTCTTAAAACAAAATGGCTAAAATGTTAGTAGCTCATCAGAACTGTGCTTCTGCTTAAAGGAAGGAACAACTTCAAAAAAGAGAAGATTGGAACAATGGCAAATAACTTAGACTTTTGCACAGCAGTATGTGTGTACACAGTATAAATATGGGGAAAAACTCCATTACATACCAAATGAAAAAGCAGTGTAATTTAATAATGACTAAATAAAGAGCACTCAAAAATTAAGACAAAACCAACTTTCAAACACTAATGTCCCCTTTGTGCCATTTAAATGTAATGCTCTAGTCCATGGATCTCCAACTCTGGCCCAGCCCCAAACCAAGGCTTTGTAGGTTACCATTAAATCAATTTTGATATATATGGAACAAATCCATTGTGATCACTTAAAATAAAGTAGTTTGTTAAGTAATTTAGTTATAATTTAGGACTGAAAACGAATTACTCTTCTTCCCACAGGAACCAGAATTCTCTTAATTTAACAGACTAATTGATAAATTCATCAATACCTTATAGGTATCTTTAAAAACATGTGACCAACTTAACTGGGGCTCTCCAGGACCACAGTTACAAACCCTTGCTTTAACCAATTTCTGAACTTGCAATTCACTTTACTGCACAGAATGTCAATAGATATTATTGTTATAATCTCTTCTAAAAAGAAAATCACGAAAAACAAAAATAGAAAAAGGCATAAAATCTCTCTCTGTAGTTTATAAAAATACACATATATTTCTTGAGCTGGGTCACCTTCGCCAATAGATTCACATTTTATACAGTTTGGTCGATTTCTTCAATTGCATTTTACCTGAAGCTTTTCTGAATTCTAGTAATTGCTTTGGGAAGTTTCTTGAGTCTTTTTCTGGTCTGATAGGCTCTCCAAGCTGCTTGGATTAAGCATGCTGCTCTGTGTAATCTCTAATAAAGAAGACAGTATGAATCACATTGTTATTTGTTCCCAATGAACAATTCTAACTTCAGAGCAATACCAATTCACAGTCACATATTGAATAACAAAACCAAACCAAGTCCATGCTAGAAAACACTGCATAAATCATGGATTATTAGTACCAACTTTCAGATCTAATTTAAAAATCCCAATTATGAAGCAATAGATTAGCATACACTTGATCATGTGTTTCAATATGATTTTACAGACAGGGCCAGGGAGGCACAGTTATAATGGGTGATGACAAGAGCATTTTGATTTTAGGCTAAGCAGTCCTAAAATGAGGAGAACTTTGGGGAGCTGGTCTCTGGTACAACAAGGACTGAGAAACACTGCATCGGGATAAAGGTAGTTAACCCATAACGCTGATATTTACTCAATCCAAAATGATTTACAAGGATTTGGGAAGTAAGCATACCTGCATTTCACCTTGCTGGTAGGATCCAGCATAAAGCAGGTCCAGAAGCTGATGGAGTTCTCTTCCAAAACCTTTTCCAGTCCATTTCTTGCTCAATTGAATTTGTAAGGCTGATTGGATCAAGACATTTATTGCAAATTATAATTCAATGGGCAAAAAGTAACATTTACTTAATGTCACAACTTTATTGAACTTCATTTTAAGAATATATTAATCCTAGCAACACAATTAAAGCCATTAATGTGTTTACACTTTATGGTCATTTAAAAGTTCTGTATTTAATAACTTTTTCCAGTGGACTTACCTTTGTAATGAGTGCAGATAATTTTTACAATGGGCGGGTGTCTTCTTGTCATTAGCAGTAATGCTTTTGTTGCCAAACTGCCAATCACAGGGTTGGTCTCTTCCAAGAGATTGTAAACAAGCTCATCCAAAATTTTACGAATAGCCTTCTCATCAGTCTTTGTTAAAACAGCACTAACAGAAATCAATAACAAAAATATGTCAAATCTGAACTGCAAGCTACAATTTGTGTCTTTCGTCTCATCTTGATCCAATGAGTGTCTACATGAAACTAAAGCAAGGATCAACACTATATTTATAAGACAAGCGCAGGGTAGATTTAAAGATGTTTTTTTCTAGCCTTTGGGGTAAATTATACTAGGCTAGACTGAGTCTGCTGGGTTTGCAGTGAGAATGAGTGAGAAAGGAAAAGTGAAATTTCAGTAATAGGTAAAAAATAAATCTACAAATTATAGGCCCTGGATTGTCACACTAACTCTTTCTTCAAGGGCTTTAAAAGAATTGTTACTATATCACGTTAAACAAATAAACTTGTTTTGAGATACTGCATTGATTATATCATTCAAGAAATATATTTTGTTTTCTTTAATCTACCCTGACTACAAAATATAAATACAGAAAAACACGCAGACGTTTTTCACTGTATCCCCACCTGTTTACTCTGACAAGATTTTCCAGAACTGACATCATGGTAGCTCTGGTTTTAACATCATCAGTAAGTAGTAACTGATGAAAATCTTCAGATTGGAGAGCTGGTTAAATATTAAAGTAGAAACGTCTTAATTAATCTTCAAGGAAAAATACAATTGTTACACTTTTGATAAAAATCACTACTTTACATACAGAAATCATAATGGAGTTTGCAAATCTTTTATGGATAAAAATCTCTCTTGCAAGTCAGACAGACAAAAATCACAGTATAACGTAAATTTTGAATTTTTGCAATTATGCAAATCCTCAGATAACTGTGTAAGTAAAAACATTTGCCTCCCACTTACTTTGCTTAGCTACATCAATGTGCCCACTGCATAGCCAACAAACAGAGTTTGTCACTATGTGAAAATTATTATACAATTCTGCTTTTTCTTCATCCTGTTGGAAACAAGAATTAAGTGTTAAGGAAATCTTATGTGTAATTCACAACCATAGCTCAAGCTTGTTTTTTAGTCCTTATGAACTAGAAAAACACAATATAACAAAAGAAGAACTTAAAATTAAATGTCCTAAGAACAAATGTATTTAAAGAGTTTCTGAGTCCGTTGGAAGCTCAATTTTAATTATTAAGAACATGATTAACTGAATCCTGGAGAGGGCACAACCCTAAATCCTACAGACAGAACCAACTTTTTACACTCTTGATTCCTCCTCCCCCAGAAATTCTTCAGGATATTATCTTAATTGTTTTTGTTCATCTATTATACTAGCAAGGATATTAGTTGGACATTAATATTAAATATATTATTGCACTGTAGTCATTTAGAAATATATCTCAAACACTGGCCAAGGCTAAATGGCAAATGTAAAATAATTATTCAGAGCAGCAGAGCACCCACCAGTCAGGCATACTCTGAACTATGACAAAGCTACCTTTTCATATATCCTGTTGTTCTGCACCCGAGACTCTTTGAAATGTATGCTGCCTATTAAAACTAAAAACATCCACTTTCAATAGGAATCCCTCTAATAATAACAAGACAGACTAATTCAGTTTTCATTTGAATAATTTGCATTCGTTAATTATTTATTTTGAAAACACCATCTCCGTATTCAAACCAAGTAAATGTGATAAAAAGGGATACCTTGACAGCTCTTTCATATCGTTTCTGTATGCGCCTTGCCAAATTCAACAGATTGTCAGCTGCCTTTGGGAGAACTTCATTATGAAATTTCTCCTTTTCTTCCTCAGGATCTATGTCCACACAAGATTTACTGAAAGCAAAGGCACCACAATAAGAATAGAAGGAAGGTCACAAACAAGAGAAGCCCATTTGGAAAATCAAGTCCATTTGGGAATGAGTAGCTAATTGGTCCCAGGTTCTTATCCAGCTATTTCCTGATAGAGACCGGGGTATCGGCTTCACCAAAAAAAGGCCTCCTTCCTGCTTTTTAAAAGTTTTTTCTTTTTAAATGACAATGAATTAGCCCACTCTGAACTGATCATAAAAACTGTGAGAGTCAAATATTCCTCTGCAAAAGAAATGGCTGCTCTGATCAGCACTTATTGTACTTCAAGAACTCAGGTATTATGGTATTCACAAAGGAGCAGGCACATGTACAGAGTACCTCTAATCTGAGCAGATGCAAAAATATTTTGAAATCTGCCTGGTTTCTGATATACACAAATATTGATGAGTATGAATGAAAGACATCTCTGTCTTTCGTATACATTTGTTTTTATTAAGAAACCCACAGTGAAGTGCAACAATAGATTTTCTCATCTTATCTCACTAGCTGGCTGACTCTAGACCAAAGAGATGCACAGTAAATTCAACCATGTACATGCAACATACGCTAAACACATGAACTACACAACTCTTTATTTGTAAAGGGAAAGAACAGTTGTTTACCTTAGAATATCGGCTAACTGTGCAGCAGCTGACCAGCCACCCTGAATTTTGGAGAAATCTTTCTTCAGAACTACATTACAATATTCTGTGAGGCCACAGGAGTAGATGTCTTCTTTCAGTTTCTTCAGTTCATTCCTTCCAAGAGATTCTTGCCCCAGAATTTCTAAAAACAAAACAGGAAAGAAAAATAATTTATGAAACCATAATAGAAAAGGATGATAATGCATTAAAATTGCATTTAAAGGCATAGAACAGCACTCTGATGCGGGCATGTACTGTATAAAACAAAACAAGACAGCTTTACATTTTACCTTTTAAGTTCAACAGAAGGACAGGCACATTTTGATCTGGACTGTCTGCAATCTCAGCAGCTAAAGACAGTATTTTAGAGTCAATGTCATCTTGCTTGCTCTCCGATGGGCTCATAATGATGCCCTCCCTTTAGATGACCTAGAAAATAAACAAACATATGATTCAGTCATTCAATGTTTATAAATCACAATGCGTCATTCCGTCATCACATAAAGTGAGCGCAGAATGTCTATGCAGAGCCTAAATCTTAAAAGAAAAAATCTTACTTACCATTTCTTTTAGTGTGATGATATTGCCTCGACTTTACATGTTGAAATAAGAATACGGATAATATGAACAATTTATTGTTTTTAGAGGAATAAATGAGCAGAAGCAGTAGGGATTTTACAAGGCGCCTGGGCGTTCAGAGGTTATAAATATTCCCGTAGAAACACTACAATCTTACAACAATAACAAACTATTGTACTAACTATTGTAACTGTAAAAATGTACTACACACGTTCAATTCATTTATTAGGATAATTTTTATCAGCAAACGCTGGACGGTTTGAAGTTTCAGAGTTGGCGAAGGAACGGAGGATGGTCATTAGCGGTTGTTGTATCATAATTTTAATATAGTTGAGACATTTCTAGAACATAGTTTATGGAAATTAGGACATTTGTTTATATCTGGAATACCGATAGTAAACACTGTTATGCAATATTGCAACAGTAAAGCTGTCCTGAGAGAGCGAGTTTATTATGTAATATGTAGAAACAGTATCTCTGAAAACGAGCCTTTGAAATCTGGTCTTCAAAACACATTAAATTACGACACTGAATATACCTTTTTAATGTTGAAATTTAATCATCCGCAGAACAGGTAAGAAACACGCTTTTTTTGTCAGAGTGAACGCACCTTTTCAAACCCCTGTCCGCAAACAAGCGTTTCTCGTTTCTAAAGCAACTTTGCGTCATCAGACTGCGACGCGACTCCGCCTCTTTTAGGCGCAAAGGATGTAGGGAAGGACTAGGGGCAGTGGGGGTTGAAGTGTATACACGTGTTTTGCCACGCAGTGATGAAAATACACCCATTTATGAGTTTTAGCTTCGGATAATTAGAATAACGGAAGGCTTTAAGTAAGATGAAAAATTACTCCGTCAGTACAGACTCCTTTGTGGGTTAATACCTCACTAAGGCTAGCTGGGAACGCTTATCAGTGTCATTGACCAATATATGTATTTTGTCGCAGTGTCTTTATACCGCAACAAACAGGTGTGAAATCTGAACCGGGGTTTTCAAGCCTAAAATTAACTTCACATCGAAACCGATCTCTCTACCAACATGTCGAAAAAAGCCTCTCATACACGCACACACACACCTTTCGAAGCGGAAATAAGGGGGGAAAAAAGTCACGTTTTCACTTCGCCGTGAAGGCACAACCCACGTCACGTGACGAGGGAGGGCGCCTACTTCCGGTTAAACATTGCGCTGCTTTGATTGATCGGTCGGCTGGCGAACCGCAGCGCAGGGACGAACTGAATGCTCGAGAGCTGGAGATAATTGACCAATGACAGGCAAGAAAAGGCGGGCTTCGGGGCCGAAGGGTCTTGAGGTGGTTTTTTCCTGCCATAGAAGGTATCGGATGGATGTGAAGCGAGTTTGGAACATATGGTAGAAAAGTTTCGTTAGAATGAATGGAGCAGCTTACTCTGCCTTTGATAACAAAGAGCATGTTCTGAAATTAGGCGAAACATTTGAAAAACAACCCAAATGCGCATTCCATACTGTGCGATGTAAGTGGTAACTATTTAATTTCGATGTTAATGTTCGGACAATAATGACAAGAGGACTCTTTAAAACGGCAATAAACGAGTTTCCCCGTTTTGGTGACGTGGTTAGCCCATGCGTTTACGGTGTTCTCGTGTTTTTTATGTATCACGAACACTGGTACAAGTTTTGTTTAAACAGCTGGAAGTAGCAAATTAGGGCTTGACTGTAAACAATCCAAAATATGATTCCTATCCGTCTATTACCGGATTGTGTCATTTTTGTAAAGGTTGGGAGGAACGTTAGCTTTTTCTTTTTTGCTTCAAGATTTCCAGTAACGCATTGTAGCTCCCGGCATTTGGCCATTGTTGAAACGGATCTGCTTGGCAAACGTTTAGTCCGTCTTTTCTCCTTTCAATCCTCGTCGTGTGCGCGGTGGCGCCCTCTGCTGGCGCAGCGCTGCGTGCCTTGTTGCTCGGTGGCGAGATAAATCCGCCGGTTCGGGTTGAAGGTGCGATTAAACCGTGTTCACTGTCCCCAGATGACTTTAAACCCGCTTCCATCGACACGACCTGCCAAGGCGAGCTCGAGGTGGGCAAGGGCGAGCAGGTGACGATAACTCTGCCAAACATTGAGGTAAGAGCACGGCAAAATACTGTCCGACACCTTTTTGTTGTTGCAAAACTGATATTTCAGAAAGGCTCCTTTAAACTTTAGAAATCCCCCTTTGTCGTGAAATAACCCCCCTCCTATTTCCACAACAGTGTTGCACATTTCTGTAAGGTGGCGTCACCCTCCCTGGGCCGGGGGTCGAAACCTCAAGTCACCCTATTCGTAGGATTAATGTGTGAACGATTACTTTCGGTTCCTAAACATTGTTTCAGCAGTAAGTTGAGGTTAGTAGCCTTTCAGTCGGATAGAGCTGTTAGCTCCATTACAGATCCAGCCTTTGAGAAAGCGTGCTGGATACTGCATCGTTTTGCAGTGCACATGCCCTAACGCGCCGCAGCGCACCCCGATTGCTATTTTTACATCTATTGTGGACTGCACTACTTTATAAAACCGCCAGGTGGAGCACTGAAAGTTTAACTTGGCGAGTGGAGCCTTTGTGCTGTCGCCAGAAAACGCCTGGTCTGGAGTCCCGGTCAATGCTGAGGGACAGTCTATTTCCAGTTATAGAATTAAGTTGTATACCGTTTAGACGTTTATACATTTTAAGTTGTGTTTTAAATCATGTAAAGTATTTAATTAGTATTTTTTTTATTTGCTAAAAAGACTCCGTTTGATATATATAAAAATATTATTATTTTATTATTATTATTATTCCGTGGCTTGTTGTGAACACGTATGGTATGGTTAATATATTTATATCCTTAAATTAATATCCTTTATGATGTTCAGAGACATTATGCTCTGTTATTTTATTTTCAGCTACCAAAATTTCCCTTTAGTTGTAAAATTCTATATTAACATTCCGTATTAAGCGGATTTAAACGTGCACAGTAGAGAGATTAAATGAAGCCATCATTTCACTAACATCCGATGCGCCAATGGTGCCGCCTGTCGGTCGCCTTCGGCCAGCGAGTCACGTACCGCGGTAACCTGCAGCCCCAGTCCCTCGTTATGGGGTTTCACCGCCCGTTCTGCATGGCGACATCTGTGTGTTAGCTTCAATTAAGTCAAGGTCTCGACAGGAGGGAACGCCAGCAGCTCTTTTGCATTGAACGGCATTAAATAGGAGAAACAAAGCAGCTCTGCTCACGCCTTTCTGTAATTCACTGCCTCTGTGGAAGTCTTTTTCTTTTCTGTTCGCAATGCCACCCTCCTGCAGATTCCTTATCCCCTCTTTATTCCTCATTCCTTTTCTTCTTAGGGGTCAACGGCCCCTGTGACAGTATTCAAAGGTTCGAAGAGGCCCTATATGAAAGAATGCATCCTCATTATGAACCACGACACTGGAGAATATCGCCTGGAGAAGCTGAGCAGCAACATAGCCGTCAAAAAAACTAGGTGAGGGCCGGGGGGACTGTGCGCAATGGGACTGGTGCCCAAACATCTGAGTCCTGTGGGGTTGTAGTGATCCTGATTGTGGCTGTTAAAACCTTTTCCTGCACCTGCTGGGTCAGACCTGCATACCTGCTGATGGGCAAAGAACCACCAAAAACAAAGCACCTACGGTGGAGATCTTGCACTTCTGCCCACATCAAGTTGCAGTATCGGCGAGATGCGTTTAGAGTTTGTGAAGCAAGGTTTTACACATTCAAAGTGTAAGCATCCAGTCAGCCTGCGTCAGTGTTCTGTAACAGAAGAATAAAAACGCATACAAATACGCTGTTATTGTAATGGAGACAGAGTAGTAATCGCCTACATTGAAGCAGAGAAAGATAAATTAATCCATGCATAAAAAAATACATAAGCCCCCCTGGAGTGCTGCCTGTTGCCTTAAATACAACGTATGTGTTTATTTCAATTGTTTTATCTTGAAATTAAAGGGCCCCGCATCTTCTCGGACTCTTCGAGCTTAGCATGTAGGGTTTGAGCAGCTGTAAATTAGCTCCTATGAAGTGTGTTGTTTGGTATTGTGATAATTCAGCGAGGGAACACAAAAAGAAGAAGTGCTTCTTGACCGTTTGCCACGAAGCCACTGGATGAGATTGTCAGATTGGTTTAGGCCTGATCGAGCCAACATGCCGGCCTGCTCTCGTACGGCTCCTTCCCTGCGTTCTCCTGTAGCCAAGGGGGTGCGTGTTGTAGCAGGAAGGAGCTACTTAACGGCGTGTTCGTTAGCGAGGCCGGCTGGCTGGCTGCCTGGCTGCCTACCCTCCTCCCGGGCTCGTGCCAGACCCTCTACCCATGTGCCCCTGCCTGTTCCCAGGGCCGAGGGCAGCAGCAGGATCCAGTCCCGGCTGGAGCAGCAGACCAGCCGGCTCAGGAACGGCAGCAGCGGCAGTGGCAAGACCCCTGCGGCCTCGAAGAGCCCCCCTCCCAAAGACAAGCTGTCGCCTGCCTCTCCCATGGATGACATCGAGAGAGGTAATCCAGGCGTGCCCAGGGCACAGGGGCTTCTGGGGGCAAGGCTGAGCGAGGGGTGTGCTGCGACGGCAAAGCATCCCGTCCTGTGGAGCCACCTTCACTTCCGATACAGCTGTACACCGAGTGTCTATGCTTTTAGGTCATTTAAAGAAAATAAGACATGCAATTTCTTGATCGCTTTCCTTTTTCGTTGTCTGAATGTTGACAGAAGCACAGCTGCTCTTGCAGAGCAGTTTGATCCGTTGAATCGAGTGTTCAAAACGGACGAAGTGTTTGAGCCCCGCGCCTATCGGCCCATGTTTACTCCTAACAAGGTGTAGAATGAGCCATACCTGATGCCTGCTGCGCGTGTTCGTGCCGAAAAGTTGACAGCCGTGTGCGTCCAGCCGGTCTCGCATCTTTGCCTAATTGCTTGGTTACTGACGTGGATCTCCCCCTGATGCCCGCTGGCCCAGAGCTGATGGCTGAGGCGCGGGTCATGGAGCAGATGAGCAGCGGGGACAGCTCCTCGGACTCCAAGAGCTCCTCCTCGAGCAGCGACGACAGCTCCAGCAGCAGCGACTCCGAGGACGAGGGGCGGGGGCCGGCCGCGCCCTTGCCCCCGGTCCCACACGGCGCGCCCGCCCCGCCGGCCCCCAGCAGCCGGCCCGAGGAGAGCAGGGGGCACTTCATGAGCACTCTCAGTGAGTACAAGGATGCCAGCACTGCCTGAAACACCCAGTTTACACAGCTCATATAAAACTAGAAAGCACCTTTTCTAGCTAGTGACTTAACGGCATTTCTCCACCCCATGACATTTTTGTGATGACCAATTAAATACTTTTGAAATAACTTTTAATTGCCCTGAGATTACATTGGTTTTATTGGGAATGCATAAATCCCTGTGCTCTTGGCCTTATCGGATATCCATTTGTGCTGCAGAACCCCGGTTTCCGTTCTCCAAGAAACGAGTGGTTGTGATCCGCAGACTGATGAGATACGAGCACAGAGACCGCGATCTCCTCCTTTGTCGCCTGATGTGGCGAAGTGTGGACAAGTCGGGCTGACGGTGCGCGTGTTTTTTTTTTCGTTTTAGAGAACGACCTGCAACTCAGCGAGTCTGGAAGTGAAAGTGATGAAGACTGAAGTAAGAATGGACAGCTGTGCGTGTTCAGGGATTTTAAACTCTCCACAGATACCGAGAAATCGATTGAAGCACAAGTCCTGGGAGAACTGTGGGAAGAGTTGTTTTTTTTTTTTTCTTCCACCCTTTCATTTGCCCTCTAAGTAAAGCTGCAGAACTCGGGAAGAGTGGGGCCTTTAATGGCCTGGTGTTAAACAGCATGTTTGGCCGAATGTCACTCACTCACTCTGCCACGTTCTGATGAACGTTTCGATAAGTTTTGATCACGGTCTTTAGATTACTCAGTTTTATTTAAATATCGGTTTATCAAAAGACTTTTCTTGGGGCAGGGTAGTGCATTTGTCCATTTGAGTCTGCACATAATTTATTTTGAATACGATGGTATTCTTTATTTTAAGATAGCATCTTTCATGTAAAAGAGCTTAACAAAAAATAAAAATAAGAGGAATAACACCCTTTGGCTCTGTACAGTTAAATTGCAGGTGATGATGGCAGGCGTTTGACTGACTATCAAAGAATAGGGTGTTGCTTTATTGCCTTCTGTCTGGTTTGTGTTAATGACATCTAGACAGCAGAACATTGCTTGGAAAATGTCACGGCTGTCCTCAATTCCAGACATTGTTTCAGGATTTTATTTTCTACTCTAACATATCCAATACAAACTTAAAAAAAAAAAGCCAATGCACTACTTCTTGAAGATTGTGGATTTTGTTTTTTAGTAATAAAACAAACTCCACTCTCTGGGACTTGATCCACCTATTATGACTGCTTTATTTTTGGGCTTCTTGAAACCTGTGATACTTGAATTTCTCTCCTGTTACAACTGCTTGTATCAAGTATTTACTTTTACGTGATTTGAGATCAACAAACCCCCCAGCCTTCGCAGATGATAAAAAAATGAAGACATAAGCGCCAACTGCAGCTGAAGGAACATTGATATCCAAAACAGAAGACAAGCAAAATGAAGGAAGAAATATTCTGTTAATATGTCTGTTCTGTTAAGATTTAAAAAAAAAAACCACCACATCCTTAGCCAAATACCTGCAGAGTTTTTCTGAAGGCTGCACGTACCCTGTTGCTGCTGCAGGTTTTTTTGTGTGATGAGGCTTAGTTCACGGTGCTGGTTGCTAATGCAGAACTGTAGAAAACCTGTAATCAGCCACAGGAATGTGAGAAACGCAGAGTAAGGACAGGAGACCAGCCTGGCCAAACGAACCCCTTCGTCTATGTAAAGTGTTCTGCCAAAGAATAAAGATTTTAAAACCTCATCATCATTTCGTGCTGTGTGGTGAAATGTTGCGGTGACGTGCGGTTTTGAAGCGGCCGTTCTGCCCGGGCATGGTCCACTGACCATCGGCTGGCACTGATGACGTCCACTCATCGGACAGCGTGGAGGACAGGGGGGCCCAACTGCGTGTTGCGGCGCAAGAACACAAAGGCTCCAACTGAGGACTGATCGGAGGATGTTCTCTACCTGTTTGATGAGGGCAGCCGGTGTATCGACTCCAACAATGGCTGGTAAGCTCTTCGATGTCCCCACAGCCCCTTCGCATTGAGAAGTGCCTCGTGCTCTCGGTCTCAAACGCTCTTCCACATCGCTTCCACGTCTGCCCTCTGGTTTCTGCCTCGCTTCTGGTCCCGAGGACGTTTCGGGCCCGTCGGCCACAGTGCAGCAGGCTCCCCTCTGATCCCCGGTCAGTCGGGTCAGCCTCCCTTCGCCGGGCTTTTCCAGTCCACTCATCCTCCAGAGGGTCCTGCCAGCCTGTCCGCCTGCTCCGGCCCAATCCTGCATTTCCATCCCCGCCTGTCCGGGCGACTGCGGCGGCTCACTCCGCCCGGCTGCCCCCCCAACACCTCCCCGATGGGCCCCTTCCGGCGTTTATGATCTCTTTTCACTGCCTGCTTGGAAGACAAAGCCCTGCACTTGTCTATTTTAACTGTCGCCTGACGGGCGTCCTGAAATCTATTTTAAAATCTTTTCGAATTTCGTTTGCTGCCCCAGCTCTGTTTCTGTGTGTTTTTGGTATCGCTACAAACCTGACTGTCAGAATCTGGAACACGGATATAAGTCAGGAAGGATGCAGGTTCTTGATGCCTGTGGCACTGTGTACCAATTACATCTCCCCAATTTGATGTAGACCCATTACTTTTACGGTGTTTTCTGTTAACCAGTTCTCAGTCCAAGCACTTGCACACTTCCCCCGAATCCATAAAACCTGTAATGTGGGACCAAATCTTTAATGGCTAAGTTTTATCAGAAACCTTCAGAAAATCTAAATATACCGCATCATGTTTTGTGTGTGTCCATTACTTTTGCTTGTTCAAAGAATGCCTAACAACACACCTAGAACTGTAACAAAGTCCTCCCTTTTCTGAATGCTTGTGTTGACTGTTCCTTAAGCTATTATTTCCTTTTAGAGAATCCTCCAATTTGGCTATAGTACTACAATTGTTTCCATAGTCTTGCATATAATGGAAAACCCTTATTGGTCTGCAATTGTTGATGCTCACTACACGGACGGTTGTAAATCTGTTGGATCTACCCCTGTCTTGAGCAACCGTTGAAAGAATACTGTTGGTAATAGCTGATAAGGCCTTGGCCTTGGAGGAATGCGTGCAAAAGTCTTGTTTCCTTTCAAAAGAGAAGTCCGGGGAAGAGGAAGGAAAAACAAATAAAAAACCGTGAAGAATCACATGTACAGAGGATCCAAGAATATACCTTTGAGCGCATAACTTTAAGTCAAAATATGGCTCTTTTATAACAGATTTTCCCAGTTTTATTTCAGTAAAATACAAAATCTTATGCATTCTTACAGTCTCAACAAATCTGCAAAGTCGCGCCCTCCCCTAATCCCCCTCCCCTCTCATATTTGGCAGAGAGTCAAGTAAACGTCATCTAAGCTTAAAACGCGCCTTCCGATGATTAGGCATTAAAACAAAAATTGAGCGTTTTCCCGAGGAAAAAAAAAACAGAATGCAAGTACAGCTGAATCCGCGGATAAAGTAACATCATTATTCTCTAAACATAAAACTGTCCGGCGGGGTTGGATATTTGCCTAGTATTGTAATGTAATGCACACTGAATGTTGCAATAAAGGGGGAAAAAAAACACTTTGTGCCTGCCCAGGGCTCTGCGCTAGCAACCTTCAGGTCATTCTGCAGAGCGACAGTCCTCACCGGGTTACTGGAGTTCAGCGCTCAGCTCCAGGTCGCAGTTACTCTCGCCGTCGCAGTCGAGCTGGGGCGGCTGCTGATGAACAGCGTCTTGTGAAGAACATCGAGAGTCTGCACTGCAGTTTTTTGTCTTGGTCTTTTGTCGTTGTCGTTGTTGTTGTTCTGGTTGTTCTCCGCACCTGGAGGTTGTGTTTCGTCGGTATGTTTTGCAAATCGCTTGTGCGGAGCGCGTATGCAGCCGGCAGACTGGAATCTAAGCCGGTTGTCCGCAAAATGAGCCCGTTGCTTCCCTACAGTGATGAGACCCGGAGACAGTCCTCGTCTTCTGTTTTGTCTGGCAACAAACCTAAAACTATGGATGAGCTCCATGGTCCAACCTTTCTAACTTCTCTTTACTGGCTTTTCGTTAAAGGATACTTTGACAAAACCCACGAAATGCAAGTATGTTGTTTTTCCTCTCTAAAGGCACGTTAACAACGTACTACGCAATTTCTTACCAGCTTGACAAACGTTTTAACGGATGATGTTTCTAGACACGTTTAGGTAATGACAGTTATTTCTCTAACCCTGAATAAAATAATTATTTAAAGCATAATTCGTGTTCCAATTACCGGGTTGATATAGATGAGAGTGAGACAGTGTACGGCAGTCAAAATGAAGCCCTAACACCGCTAGTGAGCGAACTATTTTATGGTTATTTATATTAATGTAATGCCAATCGACTACTGTTGCTGTTAGACATTCCCGAGATCTGCGGCATGTTTACCAAGGGCTCTACAGCAAATAGACGAAGAACGTATTTTTTTTGTCTTAACACGCATACAGTATTTAGTTCAACTATAAAAACGGGGCGTTGTTAAATTAAATATATATAATCCTATATATAATGGTATGGTAGAAAAAAATCTTGTATTTTTTCGACGTTTTTACATTAATATGAAAAGAGAACGCGTGGTGAATAATGCGTGTGTTTTTGCCATGATCAAGTCTGAACTGGGCAATAAGATTTAATTTCTTGAAATTGTTGTGGTGGGGTCTGTCAATTTCGCATAGACCAATAGTCAAAACAAGAAGTCGGGGCTCTTATTAGGTCATAATGTAGAGCAGGACTGTCAGACTCGGTTCCTGGAGGGACAAGTGTCTTCTGGTCCATGGTCCTACCTGAGAATTGTCATTAACAATTAACCTCATTATTTCATTGGTAAGACATTAAGTTCTTCTACAGGTAATCACTGAAAAAAGCACTTCAGTAAGAGTACAGTTACCTATAAAACACTTCCAAGTCTGGTTTAAAAAAATAAGAATTACAGTATGTTCTTAATGAAATAATTCAGCTATGAAACTGAGAGTTCAGGTGGAAAAAAAACCCTGGAAGCACCAGACCCTGCAGTAGCTGAGTTTGACCCACACTGATACAGAGGTATATTATAAGATAGCGGTGTTCCTGCTCTTTGGTAAAACCTTTGCCTGTGTGGATAAACCATCTCATCCTTATGGGATTATGATTAATCTTGATGCTGTGTGCCTCATGTGTGCATGTGGGCACATGTTCATTGGTTTCTATTAAGTCAGTAATGGCCAGCTCTGCTCCTTGAGAGCTGGCATTTACTTGTCTCTACTGAATTGAACAAACCATTTGCTCAAGTGGTCAAAATGAAATTGTCCTAGGTGTTCAGAAATAGATGATTTAGGGGAGATCTAGAAAATCCTGCTTGACCGTGGCTCATCGGGACCAGAGCTGGTCAGTCTTGATATACAAAAGTGAGTTTTGTTTTTTGTTAAGAAATTGGAATGATCCATTTACAAGTTAAACTGTAATGCTATGAATTAGTAATGGATTATTGTAAGACATGGGGTTACTTATGGTTGTGCTACTTTGATTCAAGGTAATTTTCTCATAAAAAGTCTACATTAGTTGTTTTGCATAGTTGTATGCAAAGGTTTGGGCACCCCTGGCCATTAAAATTTGCAGAAATATGTCAAGTGTAAGTTTGTTCACTGCAGAGGTTGAGTTAACTTCTTTTCACTTGGAAAATCAACAAAACGTTATTTGGCCAGAGGTGCCCAAACTTTTGCATACAATTGTAACTTTCCATATGTGGTAAAAACCTCAGAAAAAGCACTGAAAACAGTGTGAGTGTGGAACAAGCTACCCAGCCATGTTGTCAAAACCTTGGTTTCTTTCAAGAAATGTCTTGACAATATCCCTTGGATGAATTAGCTGTTAACTAGCAAACAGATCAGATGTGTTGAATAGCCTCCTCTCATTTGTAGCCTTACTTACAATGTAGTAAGGCTTTCTATTTATATGTGTATTGCTGTTTCAGTATTTGATATGTATTTGCATCAGTGGTTGTTGCAAATACATGATGTCTTAAGTGACTGACTTATAAGGCTGAGGGTGGGTGTTCAAATCTGGCTGTTGCCATGAGTTTTCTTTTAACAAATAAATATTTCTTTGAAAAACTAATATAACAAATATTATGGACACTACTGTATATTGACATTTTTTATATTTCTAAATATCACAACATGTTCAAAGCTAAGTCCTTTATTAATAACACCGAATAATTTCAAACTGCTACTGGTATTATGACTGACAATAAATATTATCGACACTATATTGAATTTGTTGGTCTTTCTAAATATCACGAAACATTCGAAGTTAAGCGATTACCATTTCCCATGAATACTTGCGCTCGTTATCACAATAAAAGAAACGCATACTTTTCCGAATTTAGTTATTATTTTGGAAGCGTTTTTACGTGCTCCTTCTGACCATATTGTTTATATACTTTGTGAGAAAAGCGATATTTTAACATTTTCTGCCAATACGCTCGCTATCGGAGTAAACAAAAACATCCTTTTACCATTTGATTAATAGGGAATGTAATATGGAATCGTGTTATCTAAAGAGCACGCCTGCCAGCGCGGTGACGTCACCGCCTGTCCCTCTGAACAGCTTGCCAAATAGGCAGTGAAAACATCTGTCTGTCTGTCCGTGGGGGGAATGGGGGCTGTCTTTCATTGGAAGGTACACTTATTCTACGCTGCGAATGTAGGAGGGGGAACAGTGCCCGTGTTTTTTTTTCACTGATAAACTCGTGTTAACAAAAACTACACTATGCTTCAGAGTTGTTAAACCGGTTTTTATTTATTTTTCACCAGCTGTGAAAGCTCGAGCGCCACAGTTCACACTCAACCTCATCACAGATCACAGATCAGTCCGTGTGCGAGATCTTGATCTTTGATCTGAGCTTTAATAGAGAGCTTATCTCTGTAAATGTATTAATACCGAGTGGTATTAAATGCAACTTTTTTGTATAGATGACACTTTTCTAAAATGTCTTTAAAAATAAAAACGATGACAATTGGCACGACTGTAGCTTTTTCACAATACCTCCTAGAGTTACGAAAACACTTCACTATGTCGTTTTTAAGCCCTTTTTCTGACCACGCTCGGATATTCTTCTGTCCATATCTCTGTGAATCTGTTTTTCTAAGAAAACATGTGAGTTGGGGTGGACTTGCCCTTATTCTACTTTGAAAATACCTGTGAAACCAGTTTCTTTACAATGCAGACACAGAGAGAGATGTGAAAACAACTTTTGCACATTAGTGTAGGGCTTTCGGGCTCACGTGAATGTGCGCCCTACAGTACAACCTGCGGTACCGCTGTGTACATACAGTACGAACATGTTGTGATATTTAGAAATATAAAAAATGACAATATAATGCCAATAATATATTCGTTTTTCAAAGAAATGTTTATTTGTTCAAAGAAAACTCATGGCGACAGCCAGATTTGAACACCTGACCTCAGTCTTATAAGTCAGTCACTTAAGCCATCACGTTTTCTGGCAACAGCTCAAGTGCTGTACTTGAGAGGTTAAGCTTTATTAGGTCTACCTGGTGGTTTTACAAGGTGATTCCGGATACTATTAACATAATCTATTTTGCATACGGTAGAGTGCGGTATGGCGCGAAACGACGCGTTGACGCGTTTTGATGCGATACACCCACCCCGTTGTACCGCAGCGTACCCTCGTTTTGAATGGCTGCATCTGTAGGTTCTGATGCATCTGTCTTGATAGAAATAAGCTGTCTCAGAAGGACAGGCAGGTCACTCCACCCAGAACACATCTATCTCTCCGCAGGTTTATTAACCAGCAGCTCGTTTTTGCATTAGGTTGAGCACAAGAAGATCTACGGCCCTCTGTGGAAGTCCAAGTATGGCCCCCTGGTGGTGGTGAACGTGGCAGAGGCCGAACTGATCGAGCAGGTGCTGAGGCAGGAAGGGAAGTACCCCATCAGGACGGACATGCCCCACTGGAGGGGCTACAGAGTGCTGCGCCAGCAAGCCTATGGGCCGCTCACTGAGTGAGTGTTAGTGAGGGACACTAAGAGAGACACGACACGTGAGCTTCCTGTGCACAAAATCTGTTCCGGTGACCTGGGGGTTACAACTGCTTCCCCGCAGCTCCTGGGTCCTGGGTTTCAGTTCTGGGCTGTGTGGATGGAGCATTTTTTACCAGTTTTCACCAGGGGTTCCAGTTTGGCTACTCTATATTGTCCCTTTCCAGGCCTTCCAGGGTGGGATTTGAGAGGATTTCCTACTCCGGGATTTCCTAATCCTGTCTCTTTCACGTGGTCGTGAACCTGCAGAGTGTCTTGGCAGGATTAATGGGCTTGAACAATCACCTTAATTCCGAACAGACATTTGCCTTGCCTTGAGAGAGGCAGGAATATGAAAATGATATTTTTTAGCTGTTTGTATGTTGTATATTGTTAGGAGGATAGATAAACAATACCTTCCAAATGTATAAATACAACTGGTGAAACTGACACAAAGAAACATCATAAACAGAGCTGTGGCTCCGGTAGTTTGTGTTGCTGGAAAAAAAATGTTATGATGTAGTTTTATGTTGTTATATAATTTTAGTTGCAACGAGCAGCGAAAAGTCATATTTGTAATTGGATTCGAGAAAACATGAGGGTCACATTTATTCACACTCTTAAAAATAAAACCCAACAAAAATCAAATTAATAATGAAGCATGTAATAATTACAAGAATAATAATTTGGTTCCTTGAAATTACAACAGAAGCCACTTCAATTATATAGAAGCCTCCAAATGTTTTCTGTTTCTCTGGGGTATATAAGGAAGGACACACAAAAGACTTTTTAGTACCACCTCTCATCGTGGTTAAGATCAGAGAGTTCTCTGCGGGCTGCAGGCCAATGATCAGTGTCAAATCAATGGGCTAGCTATAAAAGAATCCACTGAATGATGAAGCTACCGCTTTCCACTATAACTTTCCTGTAACAGATCCTGCTTAGATGGCAGCGTAGAAAGGGAATCTGCACATTAAACCAGCCCTACAATGGGAGATTAAATAGCAGAGGGCACAGTCTTGATGTTAAACTTCCTTCCTTGCCCTGTGGTTGCCCCTAAACATGCACGTTTAACTCGGAAATCACGTCAGAAATGAGTAGCAGTGGAAATACCTCACCTGGTTGATCAATCCTGTTTATACCAGCCTGCTCTCACCCGTCTTCTTTCTTACTGGTGGGCTGGCATGGCAACTACCTTCCTAATTAAGATCATTCTTGACTTTGCTTTGTCCCCCCTCCCCAATGGAGTGGTTTTAAACCTTTTAAAAAATTCCCCCAAAGAATCTCACCCTGACCCTGATGAAATTTAAGGCTGTCTGTATAGTGTTAAACATGCAGTTTATAAAAAAATACCTGTGCATCTTTACATCACAAACCATGAGGCAAGAGGTTCAGGAGTCAGCCATAAATCCAAAGGCAACAGTCTGAGATCTCCAGCTAACACCGGCTGGGTTGCAGGAAGCCACCTCTTCAGAAAAACTAAACAAAATCCAAATACGAAAGTGGAACCATGTCTTGTGGTCAGATGGAAAGGACATCGACCTTTCATGACACGCTCAATAGCGTTGTGTTTGGCGTAGGAAACATGAAGCTTGTGTTGAAGAACCACTGACACCGCTATGATGATGCCAGGGCTGATTTGGAAACTATTTTTATTTCCCTTTATCTTCTGGTACACTTGTCTCATCTCCTTGTTATAGTATTCCTGTAACTTTTGATTTTGCCATTCTGTCTTCCTTTGTCTGCATAACCTCTTGGTTAATGTGCGTTTACTGGAGAACTCGGCCGTGCTGGTTCTCGTAGGTCTTTGTAGCATTTTCTTCCTTGCTTCATTTCTTTCTGCGATCGCCACCCTACACTCATCATCAAACCAGGCCTCTCTCCTGTTGACTACTTGACACCCCACTACCTCCTCAGATGCGTGCAGAACCGTTCTCTTAATTACACCCCATTCCTCTTTGATACTAGAGTTTTGTATCTTTTGTCGCTCTTCATTAAGATGACCTTTCACCCTTTTCTGATATTCTTCAAAAAGTGGTCCGAATCGATGTTGGCCCCACGATAGCTTCGGACGTCCAGTATGTCAGATCCGTGCCCCGTCTTGATCAGCACTTGGTCAATCTGGTTCTATGTAGCTCCATCGACCGCCATGTCGCCTTGTGGATGCACTTATGTGGGAACCATGTGCTGCTTATGGTCATTCCTTTGCTCATTGCAAACCTGATGAGCCTAAATCCATTATCATTGGTCTCCTCATGCAAGCTCTCTTTCCCTATGGTGAGTCTATACACTGGCTCCCTCCCGGCTTTGGCGTTCATATCTCCAAGGATGATCTTAACATCATGACGTGGAGCTTCGTCACATGCTGCCTCGAGGTCATTATAGAAGCTCTCCTTCTCTTCGTCTTCAGCTTCTCTTGTAGGGGCATGCATGCATATCAGTGTTACATTAAACATCCTGGTCTTGAGATGTAAAGTGCAGAGGCGTTCATTCCTGGCTCTGTAGGCAATAACTGCAGTCTTACTACTCTTTCGGGACCGCAAAGCCAATACCAAGCATATGGGTCTTACTACTGCTATAGAAAAAGCGTATAGTCTTTGCATTGCATTGTATCAGTACCTCTCCATCCAATCTCCTGTAGTGATGCTATTCCTACGTTATACTTGTCCAGCTCATTTACTCAGCTCCTAAGCGCCCCCGCTCTATATGGACTTGAGAACTTTCCAGGTTGCCATCCAAAGATCATATCCTTTTCCTTGCTTTAGTCGATTCCTAGGATCTGGTTGGTTTCCGAGGCTTGGATTTCGGTTTCGTAACTGTTACTTTTTACTGGATGGGGTAGTTAGCCCCACGCTAAAGTGCGATGGAGGGGCTGCCTCCTTAAAGCGTTTGCACAAGCTTGTTTTCTGTTAGGGTTGTCTCCCTTAGCCTTCGGGGATCCCTCTTCTATCCACAAAGCAGTGGATCCCTGTTGGTCCGCTGGCCCTTATTCCGTATATTCGGGCCAGCCCACTGTTATGGTGGGCTCCCCCATCCGCCACACGGGGGACGCGCTCTCTAGGAGTTACAGGGTCCCCAGAGAGCCAGGGTTGGATTGGGGTCAAGATAATCTCCAGGGACAGGAGTAAATGGTTAGTAAAGTAATGCCCTACAATAACCTTTCCCCTGGTCATAATATTGTGTATGTGGGGGGTCTAATATGTGTAGAGATTGTTTTCCATGAACAGGTCCTGGAGTCTTTTGTAAGATAAGCATGGACTCCAGGATCTCGCAGCACACTACAGAAGGTGTATTGTCAGTATAATCCCTGCCAGAGGAGGATTTACAAAAACTACAAGGGTGTGAAAAAATATAACCCTGGTGGTTTCTGGATTAAAAATTATTTGTGACAAATATGACTTTGCTCTGAGCAATGCTACGTATATCTTTTTAAGCAATTCACAATCTAATCTGTAAATCTTAGTGTGTTGGTTTTTTCCTGTGTTATTGGGGGTATGTATAGATCTGGAGGGCATCCTCGGGAAGTTCAAGGTACAAAGTGTCATCCAAACCCACCTGGGAGTCATGTTTGAGAAAATAGAGTAAGGTACCTCCCCCAGCTGCACAGAGCTGCTTTTTACCCCTTACATTCCAACAGCTGGCATGTTGCTTCATGCTCACCTTTGCAGACGTGATATGCAAGCTTAGTAAGTATGGTAAAGGAGGAACATCTTGTTCTGATAGAAGGGAGTGATAATAATTGGTGTTGTTACAGGCCCCAGGCATTGCCATTATTTGGCAGATCAGTTCATCCCGCTGCACCATTATAATCGATATGAAACATGAATTGGGCATCCCTCCCCCCCCCCCATCATGGTTAAGTGGGTTAGAAAGTGCATTTTCAGCTCAGGAAGCCAAGATCCATTGTTCTTGCAAACATGCTGACAAACGGACAATTTGTTTCAGAATGGGGGCAGAGTGGCAGCGGATCAGGAGCATTTTGAACCCCAGGATGCTGAAGCCAAAGCACGTGTCGTCGTACTCCACAGCCATCAACCAGGTGGTGACCGACTTCGTCCACAGAGTCCGCTGGCTCAGGGAGAGCGCCGGCGGGGGGGCTGTGGTGCACGACGTGGCAGGCGAACTCTACAAATTCGCATTTGAAGGTATAAAGCTGGTGGGCTCCTGCGTGACCTGACAACCTCAGGAGGCTAATTCGCTTTATCTTGTGCTGTTGTTGTAAGTCTTACATTTTCAGTGCCTAGTTTTGTGATAGTGACTACTGAAGGTCTACTAGGGAAGAGTTTATCCAGTGACCTTCATTGCACAGTGAAGAATGATTGCTGTGTTTTATCATTTTATTTCCGACCTTTCCTCTTATTTTGATAGGGCATTGAGTAACTTATCAGTGCAGGCGTAGCTAATATGGCAAAAATACTTAACGACAGAAAACCCCAATGCCAGCCTGCGCCAAAGCAACAGGAATAAAACAATGAGGAAGCATAGAAGACATGACCTGCTGCTTTGAAACAGACCTATTTCTGGATAAAGACTTTAGTAGAGCACAGGTCTACTTTGATTCAGCTATAGCTCTTCAATATTTTGCAGAATTGGACTATACTGTACTATAGTTCTAATTAAAAGCAATTAACCCCCAATTTCTGTAACTTATTAGACCCTATAACTGTCTGTTATAGCTACATATAAATCATAGAGATGTGGATGACTTTAATCTACAAATAGTGGTGAATTAATATATTCTGCAAATGGAAAAGCTGGAGAAGTCAGGCATCTTGGCACAGTGCTGAGGAGCTGAGGAAAGTACAAGTCATGATCATTTCCATAAACGTTAAAGGGAAAATGTAATAGAGCCAAAGAGGCACTTACAGTAACACAATGAATACTAGTGGAATTTAATTGGACTGCTTATGTGTCCTGTTTTTTTTCTCTTCTACATGTTAATCAGCATTTGGCCTTGTGGAAATAGAGCAATAAGTAAAGGCTTGATGGATTAGATAAATTGCCCTTTACTTATCAATCGATCTTTGTCCTTGACATTTTGTAGGTCATATCAAAGTGTGTTGCTCTGTGTAAAGACATAATGCAAAGCTGTAAACTAATAATCTGAAGGTGCTGGGGTTCTTGTGTCAATACTCAGACACGCCCTGTGATTACTGAATTCCAGACGCTTTCCAAGAAATAGAATCACTGGGAAGTGTTTTCAAGACACAGAACCTTATGGTTTGTATGGGGAATGGCTAGATACCTAAAGACCTGTGTCACCTGATGGTCTTTGGTGAGGGAAGTCCTCTGGAGGTGTAGTGGCAATTTGTCAAAGGTCTCAGCCCCATCGCAAGTCCTCAATCAGGGAAGCCCCCAAATGTCGCTGTAGTTCAGTAAGGAGCAATGGGTCGAAATTCATATTAGCCTATGCTAGAGACTGATAAACAGCTGCAGGGAACATCTATACCAAGTTGATTTTAAATAAAGGAATTCGTTTAGAGTGTTAATATCTGTGTAACATTATTTTATTTGAGGTCTTATTTGTCCCATCTAATGATTTGTGTTTGCCTCTGAGTGCATTAGCCATTCTCAGTGTGAGTGAGAGGAGGGATGCATGGATTCTAGGAATCACTCCAGCTGTACAGCATGTAGGCTGTAAATATTAGTGTTGTGTCTTGCGTGTTTTTAGAGTAATAAATTATTGTATTTTAAGCTTTGTCCTACTTATTTTCCAACCACCATCAAAGATTGCCTTATTGCCTTGCTTGGGTATTTTATTTAGCATTTCTGATTTGTTTGTATGTACAACTAGCTGTAGAACTGACAAGTATTTCTTCATGATTCAGCCTCTATTAACCCTTTACGCTCCCCTGTGAAGAGCTGTGTGTTTGCACTGGAGACCCGGTATCTCCCCATGACCACTCTGCTGTTTTACAGGAATCTGCTCGGTGCTGTTCGAAATCCGCATGGGCTGCCTGAATGAGCAAATCCCGCAGGAAACCCAGAAGTTCATTGACTCCGTGGGGGAGATGTTCCGATTGTCCCCAATCTTGGTGCTTTTCCCCCAGTCCCTCTGGCCTTATCTGCCCTTCTGGAAGCACTTTGTGGCTGTCTGGGACCATCTCTTCAAAGTCGGTGTGTTTATTCGTTAATGAAAAATAGCTTCTTTCTCCATTGTTGTGACCTCTAGCTTTCTTTCCATGAGTCTAATTCCCAGGGAGAATAAAGGCACAGCAGTTATCTGAAAATAGATTGAGGAAAATGTACTTTGGGGGTGATTCAGGGTTGTTTCCACAATGGGTGTGACCTTTCTTTATAAACCAAATAGTATCTGCCTTAAAATATAAAGGTGCCTGTGTTTTATCTTTTGTGAAGTTTCATTCTGTGAAATATAGACTCATCAATAAGATTAGAATGAGATGAGAATTTCAGATTAGAATGAGATGAAGTTGAAATGAAAGTAAGATGTGTTCGTGCAGTAAGATTGCTTTCAGTTTTCAGTTTCGCTCTGCCAACACCAAGTACAAACCTAAAAAAAAAAACATAAGAGTAAATACATAAAAAATCTTGAGCCAGTCTGTTCAAACTGACTGCTACCTGCAGGAGATACAGCACAAGAGTGAGTGTGCGTGGGCATTGTGAGTCGTCACCTGTGTGTTCAAATGAAAGCAAATTTGAAAGCTCAGGAACAGGAGGGGTCAGCAGGCTTCTCCATGGAGGCAATGATGATGATGATGATTGCTTGAGGAGGACGCCCGATATGTCCTTCCCGCTTCTTTCTGACTGCAGCCCAGCAGCTGATTGACAGGAAGGTGGTGGAGATCCGGGAGAAGGCAGCGAAGGGTGAGACTGTGGAGGGCGAGTATCTGACACACCTGCTGGCCAGCGAGAAAATGACGGTGACTGAAATTCTGGGCAGCATTACAGAACTGCTGCTCGCTGGCGTGGACACGGTAAGTGTCTTTCAGGGCACAATACAGGACAGCAGCACAACACCCAGCGGACGTAGGTTTCAAAACAGCTGTTTGAGTGACTATCTAGGAACTTATGAAACATTCAAACCAAAATGCCTTTATGCTCTGTCCTACTCATGTGGACGTTGAAGAAATGAGTCTTCATTCTTTTGAGAGGTTGCATTCTGAAGAATGGAGAGTTTGGAGCACATGTCATTGTTGGTTCACATCGTTGTAGCCATTCTCTCAGGTTTTTCTTTCCACTGGGTCCGTTTCAACATGTTTATCAGCATTGAAAAGAGAACTAATACCTGAGAGTACAAAGTTAAATATGTTTGACATTTGCAAGAAAACACAAGGACCATGATTGCATTCTAATGCATGATCCGTTCCAGACTGCTGTGTCTTTAAAGCTGGAATGTTCTTTATCCACAGACATCCAACACCATCTCCTGGGCTCTGTACCACCTGGCACGAGAGCCAGACACTCAGGAGAAGCTGCACCAGGAGGTGGACAGTGTCTGCCCAGGAGATAAAATACCCACGAGCGAAGACTTTGCAAAGATGCCATGGCTGAAGGCAACAGTGAAGGAAACACTTCGGTATGCACCCACAATGATCAAAACCAATAGAAACAGAAGCGCCCCCAGCTGTGGATTTTATCCAGCTGTTTCGGGGCTGAGTGCAGCACGTCCAGACACTGTGCTGGCCTGCTATATTCATGGGCCGCAGCCATCCCTTGGAAGTGAACAGTTCTTTTGTGTCGCATTGCTGATGCGGCAGAGCTATCCAATTTCCGCATCAAGGTGAAATGCTGTCGCTGAAATTCTTTTCATTTTGATCCCACCTGGTGTAATAACAGATGTCGTTATTTGCAGATGCTTTTGTCCAGTGTAACATTTGTACATATATAAAGTGTAAATATCAGCGCCCATGTATAAAGCTGGACATTGTGTGGAAGCAACGTGAGGTAAACACTTTGCTCAGGTGTATGACAGCACAGCTTCGCCCAGGACACCCAGTACATTACCTGCAACCCAGCGCCCTAACCACCCGCTCTTGCTCCTTCACTTCAGTTACTCCAGTTGTTTCTGAGTTTCCTTAGCCTGTGGGGTCATGAAAATTAGCACCGCTGCCTGGCAGCTCTGTTCTCTGTTTGATCTTGGCTTGATCTGTGTTCATGTGTTCTGTCAAAGAGGGAAGCTTGATTAGCTGCTGTAAACTGTCGGTCTGAAGCTGGTGTTTGCTCAGTTTGCTCATAACTGGTCCTGAGTGTCATTATAGAGAAACAGAGCCAAATGGCCTCCTCTCGCCTTTCTGATGATCTGCTTTTCTTTGTATGTTTCTGGGAGTTATCTCTAAACATGTTACAGTATCTGTTCTCTCTGGATTTCTCTTAATCTTTCTTGTTCATGACCTAATTACATTTATTTGGATTTACTTTATTTGTACACACATTTTCCTCTTGGAAAACAACAGCAGTTTGGACAGTTAACAGTCAAGAGAAATGTATAGCTTCTCCTCAAAACTGTACACGCGATCTTTTGCAAGTATGAGAACGTGCTACTTTAAACTGCTTTGGCCTCCACCAAAAGCCTGACACCTAATGTAGTCATATTTATTTGCAGTTGGAAGGCTTTTTCACCCCCAAAAGGATTTTTAAAGCTTTACATACATCAGGGGACCCACTTTATCCACCAAGAAAAAGGCTGCCCCACCTGGGTGTCACATGGCAGCCATTTTACACCCCAGTTGAGGCCAGACCAAGTTGACCGGAAGTGCTCCACAGAACAATTTAACAGGGGATTTTAGACCAGATTATACAAGCCTGGAGTAGAATGTAAACAGAAAACCAGGGTTAACACTCCTATTCTCTTAAAAAAATGTTATAGGGTCGTAGAAGGCCAAGTAGTCAGGACAGCGTCACTGTACTGCGGCTTTTTCCTGGACGTTCTAGGCCAGAGGGAAGAGCACCGCCTACTGCTCCAGGCCCACTCAAAACCCGGGTTTCCTGTAGCTCCCCCATCCCTCCACTGACTAGACCCAACCTTCCTGATCCTCTGGGGTGGCTGGAGATCAATAGGGTTGAATTATATTGCAGCTTTGTCCATATTTGTTTTTCTCAAGAAATTTGGAGGCCTCTGGTGGCACTCTACAATAATCTTTAAACTTCCTCTCTGAGGCCTCCCCAACCCAGCCCTGCTTAGCTTCTGAAATCAGGCTCCAGAGTGGTAATTCTGCTGCCAGTGTTGCAATTGTTATTGTGGGTAGAGACATCATAGTGTAATTATATACGAAAATGCTCTTTAATCCTTTAATAATAATTGTTGGTTACTGTGTATTGCTCTGCTAATCATTATTGATTACATTAATGAGTATATTGAGATTGTGACTGACAGGGAATGGAGCTCAACATATAAAGACTGATTGATAAAATCCAATTACATTCTTAAACTATAATGTAGAAGTTAACTGCAGGCAAAGAGATGAAAGTAAAGCAATCATACCAAAGGGAGATGGTACTGAGATAATTAAATTGTGTCTTTAAATGGGTAAATGTCTTTGGGACCTGTAAGGATTAAGTATTTTCTACTGCAAGGATAGTAATGGAATAGGAAATGATTTCTCAAAAATAAGTATATTTTGGAATTGTTATGTATTGAATTGAAATCAAACTCATATTAATTACAGAAATTAAGACAAAATATGTATATAGTTTTGTTTCTGCTTAGTTTTGTGACATGTCTGTTACAGTTCATCTCAGACAGCAAGTGATTTTAACATTCAGCTCTCATTTTATTCCACAGATTGTACCCAGTTGTACCTGGTAACGCCCGGGTTGTGGTTGAAGATGAAATTATGGTTGGTGATTGTATTTTCCCCAAAAAGGTAAATTGTGAAATTTCATATGACTTCTGTTAGTTTGTGAAATGAATAAACGTTATGATAATTTATGCCAATTACAAGACGTCTGTTTAAAACAACATCACAGTAGTCTTTTTCCCGCATGTTTAAAACAGTTTAAATTTCTTTGCCATTGTCCAGCATAAACAGACGAGCAGGGCACTCTACTCAGATTGCTTTAGTAAAATCCCCAGCTGTGCCAGTGGGTACAATTATATTTTGCCCTGTAACAAGTCCATCCATACATTTTCTACCTGGTTTATGGAATCCAGGGTCATGGAGGAGCAGGAGTCTATCCTGGCAAGCAGCGGGCAAAAGGCAGGATACACCCTGGACACCCGGGCCAATTTTCCCAGTAGCCCATTAACCAACCATTATTACAGTGGTTCTGCAGCTGCCTTTTAAGGCCTGAAAATAACCACTTTAAATAAATCTCAGATTTATTCCAAACTGTAGATCAGCATTTCCTGTCTTAGGTCCTGTTGCCCATTATCATTTCCTTTGGGAAAAACCAGGCGTAGTTGTCACCATGCTGAATTGGGTTTAGATATAGTGTAGTTTTGTCTTTGGACGGTGGGAAGAAACTGGAGCACCTGGAGGAAACGCACACAAACGCAGGGAGAACACGCAAACTCCACACAGACAGACCCCGTGAACCGAACCCAGGGCCCCAGCACTGAGGGGCAGCACTGCTGACGACGTCTCCACCATGCCAGCCACTTTGCAGAAAGTGCTGAATCATATTTATTAGTGCTGCGGGATACCTCATTTCTAAGAGGTCGCCTCTTGATGTTTCAGACGCTTTTTCACCTCTGCCACTACGCTGTGTCCTACGACGGAAACCACTTCCCCCAGCCCCACGCCTTCCTGCCCCAGCGCTGGCTGAGAGGAGACGAGAGGCTGAAGCAGCACCCGTTCAGCTCCGTGCCCTTCGGCTTCGGGATCAGGGCCTGCCTGGGCAAGAGGCTGGCGGAGCTGGAGATGTACTGCATACTGTCTAGGGTAAGGGAGTGGTTTTCCTCAGAGAACAAAAGTGAGGGGTGTGCAGCCCATTGGAGAAAACCTCGGGCTTCTACAATTATTGCTTTTGTTGTTAATTTCCTGTAGTTCTGCAAAACCCTTATCGACGCCTTCTAATGACGAAACATGTTGAAGGAGTATTTGGTGGAACTCTGGCCTGGCTGGGGGAACAGCAGCCCCCCAGTGAGGACAAGACTGACAGAACCCCCCCCCCCTCGTAATGAGGAATAAGCCAGGGAGCTGCTGCAAGGGTGAAGATGGTGGAGGGAGGGGAGGTGGAAAGAAGTACAAAGGGGGGTGGAAGTGGGAAAGTTTAAAAATCTGGCCTCCTCCCAAAATTCAGTTTAAAACACTGTTAATGGAAGAGACCCAAAACTGTGGAAACTGGCATTCAATTCCTGGAAAGTGGTATAGAATACATTGAACACAGGCTTAGTTTTCCAGAAGTGCAAATAAAAGAAACCTTTGTGTGTGCTTTTTCATTATACTCTCTATTAATGGCTAACTGAAGATATCCAATTTCTTGACTTCTTGTCTTCATTTTCTTTGGTGTAAATATGTAAAATAACACGTCAGATTTTAATCCCCTTGTCCAGTTGCATCTTTAGAGCTTATCCACTGCGGATTAGTTTGACCTTGCTGGGCTATTATAAAATGTTGCTGTATGAAATGTGGAACGACATTCCATTCTAAATCTGTTACAGGAGATTGATTTGTTGCCAGAAAGGGTATGGTTCATTAGAAGAACAAGATACAAAAAGATGGACTTTCAACTTTGAACTGTTTACAGCAGCGATATGACCTTTTCTGTGGGCAGCTGTAAATGATTCACCCTGAAGGCTGTCTGAGACTTTACTTTATTACAGTGGTTCTGCAGCTGCCTTTTAAGGCCTGAAAATAACCACTTTAAATAAATCTCAGATTTATTCCAGACCGTAGATCAGCATTTCCTGTCTTAGGTCCTGTTGCCCATTATCATTTCCTTTGGGAAAAACAAGGCGTAGTTGTCACTGTGCTGAATTGGGTTTAGATATAGTGTAGCTTTTAAATGTAGAATCTCCACACTGTTTAAGATAACAACTTGCACACTAGGAGAAAGAACAAACCTCAGGAAACGCCACACGCTACAGTGTGGATAGGTTTTTATTATATATCATAATGGTGATGAAAAGATAAAATAAAAATGACAAAATCAATGTAGGAAAAGTAACTTCCAGTGATCGGCAAGTTACTCACAACACTGGAGGTGTAACCATGTTTAATTGTGTAGTATTTGCTAAGTGTATATATCTGTAGGGCTTGCCCTTTAAAAATGGGTCTAATGTGTTTTTCCTGTTGCAGCTGATGAAGCACTTTGAGGTGCGTCCTGATCCTTCCGGAGCCACAGTCAAAGCCAAAACCAGGACCCTTCTAGTGCCTGCGTCCCCCATGAACCTGCAGTTTCTGGACAGGAAATAGAGACAAGCCCTAGAGGCAAAAAGACAAAAACAACTACAGGTCTCACGGTCAAATCGACAGAGTTAAAACATGACAACCAAAAGGGGCGATTTACAGCAACGTATTCTGTAGCACAGTGTCTTCAAAAAGGAGTTGCGAGGTTAAGAAAGAGAGAATTCAACACTAGAGCCAGTTCTGTTTTTATGTTGAAGGAGTGCTATTGCACACTGGAGGCTCAGGCCAAGTACCTTCAGTTGGCTCAGTTCTGCTCTGTTGCATCAAAACATCCTGAGTCCTTACTGCTGTTTGTGCGCAGGAACAGAGTGTAGCTGCAGACATCCTTTCAGCTTCATTCTTTTAAGTTTTCCACAAGCAGACGTATTTCAAACAAACCGCGGTAACATTAGGAAACAAAACAATCTACAATAGGTGCCTTATATATATATATCATTCCATATCATTCTATTACTTATTTAATGTTATTTTTTAGTGAGCCATTTAAGTCTTCTGTTAGAATTCCTTACTGCACTTTCTCCTGCATGCTTGTTTGGCTAAGGGACCACTGTTCTCATCTTGAGTCGGTTCCATACAAAATGGAATTGGAATATGCAGTTATTAAAGATAATGCTGCCATTCATATTAAAATATTCAAAAAAGACGAAGGGTTGGTAGAGCAAACACAGGGTGTCAATTTTCTAAAATAACGTACAGCAATTAAAGTTGAAATTTTAGGTAGTACCCCTTTAGATACCCTTTACCCTGTTTTCTCTAGAGCTCACTGATTTACATGTATTCAGTAGTTAACGCTCCTAGACTTCTGGTTGGGAACTACTATTGTAACATGTGACAACATTACAAATGAGTGATAAACGCAGTAAAATGTTGATAATGTTTAATTTTGTGTTGTTGCAACTGATTACTACATTAGGAGTGGCCAGCCCCGGTTCTGGAAAACCACGGGCCTTCTAAACAAGTCTGATATCTCTCCCTGAAATCCAGGATTGAACAATTTCATTTTGTACCACTTTATTATATTTGCTCAGATAAGTAGCATAGAGAACATTTGAAATGTGCATATCGACACGTCATTACTCTAAAGGACCACAGCTGGCCAGTCCTGGCTTTTTTTACAAAGTGATTTGGTGAGGATGACCCCGTGAAATTTCTGATGGATTGTGCCGGGTACCCCTGCCCTTAACCCTAGACATGTGTAGACAGTGCCACCTAGCGGGATCTTTTCATCACTGCCTTGCACAAAACACCCACACAAACATTTATCACGGCTAATTTTCACATCTTGATTTACACTGCGATACTTAAAACAATAATTGATTATTCATACTTATGATAAAACGGTGGTACACTTTAAATTGTATCCACCCATTATATCAGTGAAAAGTCACGCTAACTGGAAGCGCATCGCTCAAGGTTTAACTACAGCCTGGACGGGACGAAATACTTCGATAGAAATGTGCGGACTGGGAATTTAATTTGGAAAAGACGCCGTATAGAACCGTGAAGTGTGAACGGGAAGGCTCCTCTTTTCTCAAAAGAACAGTCTTCTGTCTGTGTGTGTGATGGTGTGTTAAGTTATTCTAGCCTCTGGTATTGTGGCAGACTGCAGCCCAAGCTCGAGGAGTAGTACTTGAGTATTGATGAGGAACACCCCCCCTATTGAAAGGTGTTTGTCGATTGTTTAATCACAGTGAGTCGACTGCAACGGACCTTGCGGATTTAGCACGGAGCTGCGTGCTAAATTGCATACCAGCTATACAGTACTAATCTGAGGGTTTATCTAGATTAGTTTATGCTTCACTGGTTCTGGATGTACCACCTGCAACTATTAGGAAAATTGACTCCAAACTTTTCAAATTTATCTGGAGGAATAAACCCCATTATTTTAAAAGAGAAATTATTTGTCGTCCACAGGCAGAAGGGGGCTTAAATGCTTTAGACTTTAGGACATCTAATGCTATTTTTAAGATTAAATGGATACAAAACTATTTTTAAAATAAGCAAAGTATATGGCATATAATCCCCAATCTGATATTTCAAGAAGTAGGGGTCTAGAGTTTTTACTAAAGTGTAACTTTGACATTGGAAAAATCCCCTTGAAACTTGCCAGTTTTCATAAACAAGTACTTCTGACGTGGTCACTTGTGTATAAACATAACTTTTCCCCACATAGATTTACTATCTGGAGCAACAAATATATAACAATTAGAAATAAAAGCTTATTTTTTTAAAACTGGGTCAAGAATGGAATAATTTGGATTAAACAATTAATCAAGACTGATGGTGAAATAAATAGTTACACCGAGTTTGTTAATAGATACAATATTTCTATAACTTTGGATCAGTATTTTACTGTAATTAATGCGATTTCTGGGGAAATATTAACTCTTTTAAGGAGTTGTAATAGTAGTCCTTTAGAAACATTGGAAGAATTTACAGCTCATATTAGACTACAAGGAAAGGATATTGTGAGTTGTGGATGTAATAACCTATTTTTGAGATCCCTGTTAAAAAAATGATAATTTACTTGCGACTACAATATATTGGAATTCCACATTGATTGGAGAAAAATTTTGATGATGCCCAATAAATATTGTATAACCAATAAAATTAAGGAGGTTTCATACAAAATAATTAATCGAATTTACCCAGTTAAAACTCTTACCTTACGATTTAAAATTAATATAGATGGCAAATGTGTTTTTTGTGACAATAGCCCTGAAACTATTCAGCATTTGTTTTGGTTATGTCCCAGGGTAAAAATGTTCTGGACTAAGTTGCAGAATTATATTAAAAAAGAGACCAATATTGATATTTGTTTTGTTGAAAAAGATATTATGTTAAGTTTCAGCCTCAGTGAAAACAATATACAAATTTCGTTTGTAATAAATTTAATTATTATACTGGCACGTTATCACATACATAAAATGGTCTGGGAGGTACCCTGTGTTTGAGTATTTTAAAATGGAAGTAAAGGGGTATTTGCAGACTATTTCGAAATGCAAAAATATGAAAGCGGTGCGGAGATTATTTTTATTTAATTTGTTTAATCTTTTTTCATAACTTGAATTTTATGTAGTAGTATGTACGACGATATTTTTGTTTTAAATTGTTATATGTACTCTTGTTTGTATTGTAATTTTTGTTCTTTTGTTAAGCATAAATAAAAAAATTAAACAAAAAAACAGCTGAGCGCCGGCCCCCTGCAGAGAGAGGGGTGACCAAGGTGCAGCTGCACAGGAGGAGCAGGGTGGAGGAGGGATGCAGAAGACCAACACGAAGGAGAAAATACATACACTGTGGTATTAAAGAAATGACGAAAGAAATGATTGCGAGTTGAGGCAGCCGAGGCGGCGTTGAACTTGACTGCTGTCTTCTGTCTCAAACTTTCTTTGTCAACACGGTTCAAGATCAGGCTGACGCGCACTGGTGGCAAGCGCACATGGTCATAATCGCCCCCCTGCGGGGTTTTCAATGCGATCTGTGTGCCACCGCCTTGCTCAGCAAACATTTTAACACTTTGTTCAGGGTTCAAATAGAAGCAGCTCTATCGACTGAAATGGGCGGCAGTTCACAACGTGCAGGAAACAAATAATGCAGCTTATAGCCTCGTCTAAAACCAGCTCGGGTGGGAAGTTTTTGATTTGTTGGGAAAGTGCAATACACCTGGGGGTGCATAATGCTTCATGACTAGTTGACGTCTTTTTTTATGTAGAAATAAGATGCTCTCTGGCAACGACAGATTCTTTCCCATCCCACAGTTACCACCTCAACTATTCCCAAACTGGGTCAGACCCGCTTGAACTCAGTGTGCGCTCAGAGCAATCGCATGCGTTCACTTTTGTGATACAGTTAATTAATTTTGTTACCGAGATGTAATAACCGGTCTGAGAAATTGGGACAGATGCTCCCCCTTTAATATCGCTAGGATTCATTTTTTTTTACTTCACCAGGGACAACGTTATCCAAGGACTGAATATTTGGTGGGAGAAGCTCGGTTTAACCTGCCTGGTTAAATGACAGCCTCCGCCCCCATTCGGACTGATGAACCGAGGGGCAGCTGTGAGGTGGAGACGGAGCGCAGGAGGGTTGATTCAGACTAACGCGAACGGACTCGTTTCAGTCCAGTTCATATAGCCAGTCTGATGATAATCGTGATTAGGTGAGGCTGTGAGAGATTGACGTGTCGTTAACCCTCCCGAACTTCAGCTCATACCTTTTAACCATTTCGCTATTTTATCATCATTAATAATATTCTCCCACGTTTTGTGTTTTTGTTTTCAAGCGCATGGAATAATGCATTTGTAAATTGTTTTAAAATTACACGTCACGTATATGAACATTTTAAATGATAAATGGGATCGCTAGATCTCATTCCAACGATCAATTTAAACTGGAATTGAAGTGAATTAATACTGCCCCTTGGCGTTGAAGACGAGTCAGGTGGTTAAGAGGGGGATTCGAGAAAGCTGACGGAGGTTTCCTGAGCCAGGATGAGGACAGGTAAATAATACGAGGTGGATTACAAATTATTTAAACCTTCTGTCTTGGCTATATATATTCAGTAAATAAAGAAAAAAAAACAGGTAACTGCTTGTATCGGTCATTGATAAATACTACGGGAGGATGGGTTTCTCCAGTCGGATTGTAAAGTTTTAATACTGACCTCAGTCATGTGCTTCTGATGGGCTGTGTTTTCTCACTGTTGGTTCAAAAGACATTTACGATATTTACACTATCGTAACATTATGGTAACATGGTACGTATGGTACGTAACGGCTCTTCTATCCTATCCTAGTTTACTCTTCTATATGTTTTCTTTTTTTGTTAGTTATATTTGTCTTGTGTGTGGTTGCACATTTTTTTTAAAATTTTAAAATAAAAATGCAACGCCCCCCCCCCCAATGAGAAATAAAGATGCAATGATGTTAAAATAAGAGAAGTGGTAAAAGGATAACACGGCTTTAGAATGGGAGTGATCGTGATTAGCATGCAGCTGTTCCTCTTGCTTCAAAGACAGCTTTGCAAATCATTTGCTTGTTAAGCGTGTGAGAATAATAATTCACTTTGATCTCTTCAAGCATGGCCAAGATTCCTTCTTGAAATTATTCCCTCTTTATTTATATGACCACATAAATTAGTCAGGCCAATGCGACTCTGCTGCTGCCGGAGAGCTGGCGCGTTACAGTGTTTACTAATGTGTCAATAATACAGGTCACAGCTCCAGAACAAACGAGTGTTAGCCTGGGGCTAATATTCACCGCAAACTGGCATCAGTTTGAAGTGAAACAAGCGGTGTTTAAACCAATGAAATGGAAATGTTTAGAAGCTGTTGCAGCCTTGAGCTTGTGATCTTTGTAGCAATACCTACGTTCCTTTTGTGGGGAAAACTAAGGTTGCTGCTGGAAGAGGTGTTAGTGGGACCAGCAGGGGGTGCTCACCCTGTGGTCCATGTGGGTCCTAATGCCCCAGTATAGTGACGGGGACACTACACTGTAAACAGGCACCGTCCTTCGGATGAGACGTAAAACCGAGGTCCTGACTCTCTCTGATCATTAAAAATCCCAGGGCGTTTCTCGAAAAAAGTAGGGGTGTAACCCCGGCGTCCTGGCCAAATTCCCCATTGGCCCTTACCAATCATGGCCTCCTAATAACCCCCCTCTATGAACTGGCTACATTACTCTGCTCTCCTCCACACTGAGAGCTGGTGTGTGGGGAGCGTTCTGGCTCACTATGGCTGCCGTCACATCATCCAGGTGGGGCTGCACACTGGTGGTGGTGGAGGGGATCCCCATTACCTGTAAAGCGCTTTGAGTGGAGTGTCCAGAAAAGCGCTATATAAGTGTAAGCAATTATTATTATTATTATTATTATACCATAT